CACATTACAAGGTCATAACTTTACTTTTTGACATAAATATGTGAAACAACTAATATGTGAACAAAAATAGTATTATTATTTTTATAAGTTATATTTTACAAACTTATAATAAAAAATAAATAAATATCTTTATTAAAATTACATTAATAATAAAATGAAACAATATATATTACAATTATGCAAAAGTTTAATGTTGATAATTTTTAAAAATTAACAATTTTAAAAATATGCAATTGAAATATTATTTTTATTAATATATAAACATGTAATAAAATAAAAATAATATTTAAATAATATTGCCTTCATTTTACTTTTTAGGATTCGCCTTTTCTTTTTGGACACAAAAGTTGATATCATAGTACATATATAATTTATAATAAAAATAATATTTCCGCTACATTGTTTTCAAATTCACTTATCAATCTTTATAAATTAATCATTATGAAACTTTTGCATAAATATTTATATAATTTCATTTTCTTACTATGGAAATATTATTAAAGATATTTATTATTATTTTTATTATAAGTATGTAAATATAAATTACAATATATATTTTTGTTCACATAAATATATCATAAAACTTTAGTTAATTGATTTTATATAGTCTTGTCAATAAGTAAAGTTAGTTGAACCTTGCAATGAAAAGTTAACTAAAAAACAAGCCTTCAATTGAGAATAATATGAAATGTAAGTCTTCTATCGAGAAAGAATAAAATTCAGGTCTTAAATTTATATAACTCAAAAAGTTGGGTCTTGTAATAGAATTTTTTCGTGAAAATAATTGATTCATATTATTAATTATATCGGGTTAAAATCTATATTTATATATATATAATAAGATTTACCATTTTTCCAAAAATGGCAGTCAAACTCTGGTCAAACTCAATTTGCATTTACTACATGCTATTAATAGTAACTTTTATTTATTTATTTTTTTCAAAAAATCGGATAACATTAAATCATGCCCTTAAATTGTGGCATTTGTTACTTATTTTTATTTAGAGAAAATGGGAATACATTAATTTGACCTTAAAATTTAGAAAGTTGTTAAATTACACAAAGAGTTACAGTTGATTTAAAACTTTATCATGGAAACAACTTTTTTCACCAGATATTGCGACTAAGTCAATTGATTTGTTTGGCACCTTTTATTTTTTCACCAAAAAAAATCACGGCTGAGTATGCAATTGAAAAAATAAAGTTGCGTCTCATATCATTACGATATATTTACTCCATATCATTTTTAGTTTGGGTGAGTATTCAATTACTTTAAAGGATAGGATTGACAAATATAATTTAAGAAATTAAAAAATTTTAGTCACATCATGAAAACATAATTTATTCAATATAATTAAACAAACCGCTTGCCTTTATGAATTTGGATATTAGTCTAAGGGATTTAATTAACTAAATATCATTCATAACAAAATATTAGTCAAATCATAAAATACTGCAGAATATGATAATTACATACTCAAATTCAAAATATTTGCATTTTATTTTCCTTTTTTGATTTATCTCTAAATCATATCAGAAAATATGTCTTATCCCTAAGTTATACTCCAGTCATTTATTTACCTGGTTATAAACAAAACGAAAAAAAAAAAAAACTTTATTGATAAAATTTCAATCAAGTCGTCTATTTACGTGATTGTAAACAAACATAAATAAAAAAAACATATATAAGTGCAAAATTTCAGTTGTCAAATACAATTTTTAATTAAAAGTGGTTAATTGGAGACAACCTATTTACCAAAAATGGTAGCAAAAGTATAGGTTAGCATTTAATGCAACATATAAATAGTAAGTTTCATAAATTTTAATATTATTTTCTTTAAAAAACATAACATTAAATGTTACCTTAAATTTCGACCTTTAGTTCCTTTTATTATTTAAAAAAAATGGCTAAGAGTGTGCATGTTTTTATTTTATTTTTTCTTAGAAACAAGGAACAATATTAAAATCCCGGCCTCTGTATTTATAAAATCTCAATTCAAAATATAACAAAAGTTTTACAATCTCGGTCTTTATATTTGTGTCTTCTTAAAAAAAAAGAAACGAACACTAAAAATATTTTAAATTGATAATCAATCAATTAATATTAATATTTTGAAAATTACTATGTTTATTTTTTTTATTAATATGCATAGTAAAAATAATTAATTCATCTTTAGATATATAATTTATAATTTTAATATACTTTCATTTGGTGTAGACCTTTATTATATGAATCATAAAATATTTTATTTCATAAAATTAAATATATTTATAGAAAATAATGAAATTTATTTGGATCAATCGGGTGATTGAATTATGGTACTACTCATGTTGATTGAATTACTTTCAGATGATATTTAAAATAGTCAAAAAACTTGACACAACTTGGTTGATCCCAGGTGACTAAGTTATGTATCAGTTTGACCAGACCAAATCGATTATTGAATCTAAATATAAATTTTAGTATTGAAAAATACTTTATTACGTGAATGTAATGCAGTCAAAACTTCAAATAATCATATTAACAATACTTTTATGACAACATGTTTAATAATTTATAAATATTTATATATCATTTTAGTAATATTTGTGTGAATAAAATAATTTTATTATAATTTTTATTAATGTACAGTAAATATAAGGTTTTCAGAACCGGACCGTCATCGAAATGATCGAGTTATTTTATTAAATCACTTGTGGTTTCTTTAGATTTTAATTTATAAACATTTTATACATATATAGGATTTTTTTGTAATAAATTTAAATAAAATGTGTTACTTAAATATTTAAACAATTTATATATTCAATATTTAAACTGATTGATAAACAATTTATAAATCTCTATTTTATTTAAATATGTAATTTTATTTACACTAATTTTAAATGTAACAAAATTTGTTTAGAAAATCGTATCGATCCTACCAGTCCAATCGACTGGTGTTGACGAATTAAATAGCAAATATTTTATTCAAGCGAATTATAAACCGGTTCTCGGTCCATCAGGTCGGACTGTGTCCAACCCGATTTAATTTAAAACAATGGGTAGATCATGATCAATGTTATTTATATATTTAATTTATAATACAATCGTAATATTATTTTCCCGTGCATCGCACGGACCACGCACTAGTATGTTCTTAGCCACGATCAATTATATGTTGTTGTTGTGTAAGTATTAGATAAGAGTTGTGCATTAATGTCATGTTCTTACAAATATACATTTTTTTATCACGACCAATTGTATGTTGTTGTTACGCGTGTAATTAATAGATAAATAAAAGTTCATGTCAAACTTTATTGTGCGTTGACATATTCTTACAGAAAACAATTTTTAGTCACAGACATTTATGTTGTTTGTTTCGTGTGTAAGTAACAAAAAAAGGTTAAAAATATTAGTTTGTGGGGACACGAGTTGCTCAGCTATTAAACAAATAATGTTGTGTAGAAGAAAGTTTTAAATAATATATTTTTTGCATGAGGAACAATTTATGGTTTGACAATTTCCCTATGAATTATCACTTTTTGTTTATTAATACTTTTAATTTTTAGTATCCCCAAAATAAATACAGCCCGTGCATCGCACGGGTTCCATACTAGTTGAGTTGGATTTCAAATATTAGTTTAGTATGAATATGAGCCGAGCCGATCTGAGTCGAGTCGAGTCGAGCATTAGCCTTATCGAGCAGGATTGATTTTATTTTTTAGTGCTGCTTGAGCTCGATTTATGAGGCTGGAGCTCGACTCGAAATCAAAATACTCGAGCTTGGCTCGAAAATTTTTAAGTTGAAAAATAAAATTATCATTAAGAACTTATGCTAATGTGTGTGTGTGTGTGTATATATATATATACATATATGAGGGGTATTTTAATAATTTAATATTTATTTCGAGTCGCTCGACAATGCAAAATATGGGCTCGAGCTCGACTCAAGTTCGTGATCGAGCTGCTCGAGCTCGGCTCTAATTAGTCAAACTCGAGCTCAAGTTGAACTTTGACTCGAACGCTCGTGAGCGGCTCGCAAACCTTCGTTTGCAGCCCATTATATCACTTACTCGCAATTTTTATTCATGCAAAATAAATAAATAAATAAGAAATGAATTTTAACTTAAATTTTGGTAAAAACACCCATTGATTGTCCGTCCCTCGACCAATGCTGAAAATCGAAGGCAAAAAACCCCACTCCGCTTCGGCCTTCGCCTATCCAAGGCCATATTTATCACACCCCCAAACTCAGGACAAACAAGAACTCTTGATCAAATGGGGAGCTTAGGAAGAGCTGTGTACACCTTGGGAAACTTGATTCGAGCTACAGGTCAAGCCATGGATCGACTGGGTTTCCAGCTCCAAGGGAGTTATTATATCCCTGAACAAAGTATGTTCTAATCGATTCTCTTTTTTTTTTTTTTTTTTGTTTAATTGTATATTTACCGAACCCAAGAACGACCTGCATTTTAAAGATCGTTTGATGTATGATTCATAGGTCATTTTGGTCTAGTAATGTAGAAGCAGGTCAGTACGTGAGATGCGAGGTGTAATTTAGGATATATATTATGGTTTCCCTTGTTGTGGAGCTGTTCAGCAGGCTTATTTGTTCAAATTATTCTGTTTTCTTGGTCACTTTTGTATATGTGCGTGGGGGTGGAGGATTGTGTGGTCGGACCAAAATGAGATCTTTAGAGGAAAGGGGAAATTGTTTGTTGATCTTTTGTTCGTAATTGTTGTGCGGGCGATGAAATTCGAGCTACGAAGTTCTGTGTTGCTGATTGCTTGGAAAATTGCGGGACTTTAGATGCATTCTTGTTGTTCCTCACAGATTTATGATATTCATAGAGTGGAAGTGATTATGTCTGAAGGGAAAAATTAAGGTTTCAGCATGTTCATGCTTATGGTGTTCGGGTTTTATGTCTATGGCTAGACAAGAAGGTTTACTAGACGTAAACTACTAACGAATATGAAGTTGCACTGACGACGCAACATAGTTGATAGGATTGAAAAAGTCTACATGTTGCTTATCAGTGTTCATTTAGTATAATGTGCGAAATCTGTGTTGTGGTTATCGCCTACTTGGGGAAATGACTATAACACGGGATGATGAATAGTTATTAGTTAAGGATGCTTTGAGGACAAAAAGGAAACAATATGTGATAAATAAGATAATAAAATTGAATTATAATGGTAATACTATACCATGGCAGACGTTTGAGATGGATAACCTTTGAGGATGTCAAACTTTCACCTTTTAATTGCATTGCCAATTTCAATTTCAGAGTCTAGCTAACACCTAGAGTAATCAATGTAGTTACAGCACCAACTCATTGTAAGATAATTTTTAAGTTGCTAACCACATAAAAATGAATACCCTTTTGCGGCCGTACTCTCACCAAACATGTTTCCTAATTTGAATGATAAAATTCATGAACAAAGAGCCCCTAGATCTTGATAAGCGTTCATGATATAGTAATATAACGGTTATATTGTGCTATATCAAATGTCAACAGTTTATCGGTATTGTCAAGACAGCTCCTAGGGATACCTTATAAGAAAAAAAAAAATAATAAAATGTCTCTAAAATTTTCAGTTGCCATCATAATTAAGTGAGCAGTTGCATTGCATAAACATTTTGTGTTTTGTCAAACAATTTAAGATGTACTGAATCTTTATGCCTTACTAATTATTATAAATATAAGACAAAAGTCTCGATACATTTAGCAAGAGGTCACATTAGTTTTACGCTTCAACACGGTCTAAGACTCAGATATGACTTCTTATACCGTTGCATTGCTCTCTTAAGAATACCATTGGATGCACAATTGGAAAGTGTGGACGTATGGTCTACATGGAGTTGTTCGTCTTACTTCTGTTGTATTATGAAGTTATTGTGCATATTTACCTAGATCTTGATAAGAATCCCACTATTGACATTTTTTTTTTTTTCAAGAGTCTTTTGAGCTTGGGTAAAATTCATTTGCAGAGTGAGTCCCTTAGATATCATGATTTTCCTTACTCGTATGTAACCACATTCCCTTTTCCCTAAATAGAATGAAGGAATATAGTATAGGGGAAAGGTAAATACTAAATGATAATTCATTTGTCAAAATAACTAATAAGACCATTTGACCTTGTTTGATGCTTGATTCCTGATTTTGTTTATCATATCTTGTTTTCAAGGTAGAATTTGATTTTCATTGTAGAGATCAAACATTATGCCATTCTATTTTAATAATAAGCTTTCAAAAATTGATAATGAGCTTTCAAAAAATTAATCTGACATCAAATTAACACATAATTGTGTGCTACTGCACTCGGGATTTCTTGACTTTAAAGTCTTTTCATGCTACTTACGTCAATTCAGATGTTCTGTTTCCCTTTTACATGAATTTTACGGTATTTTTTCTCAGTTTCTAGGCATCGGACAATAATGGATATTTTCGAAAAATCTCCTGTGGTTGATAAGGATGCATTTATTGCCCCAAGTGCCTCTGTCATTGGGGATGTTCAGGTTGGCCGAGGATCATCCATATGGTATGGGTCTGTTCTTCGAGGTAAATGACAGTTAAACAAAATTATAATGATGCCTCATGAATGTTTACATTGCCATATTTAGAACCTGGGATATTTCTGATGTGAATAATTACTACAAGAGGAGGATCTTAAGTAAGAATTCTCTTTGGCAACCTGTGTACAATAGCTCGGTTTTGCCACTACTGAGTTGAAAAGTTGTCTGTATATTAAGAAATGTGCTTTAGTTTAAATACAAATAATATTTTGAACTTGACAAAAACATTAAGATATCTGGTTGTTTTCTACAGTAAAATTCTTTTCAAACTATGAACAACAATTTATCTGCAACTATTCTGGGACAAATAAGTTGGGTTCTCTGGACTAATTAAAAAATAAATAAATAAATAAAAAATTGAAAACTAACGTGGATTAAACAGTGTAGTGCAATATATAGGCAACAATGAACATGGTCTAATCTCCAGCTTCCTTTCGATTACTTCTTTTTAGCATGTGGGATAGCACATTTTATGGGCCAATACACCATATATAATCATGAGAGAAGTGTGGTCTTACTTGATTTCTGAATCAATTGAAGTTACTCTCTAACATCTAAACACGGATATGAAGAATGAAATATGTGGTGCCTACATCAAATATGAATTAGGAGAAAAATTGAGGAACAAAACCATAGGACATTCCAGCTTAATCAAATCCCAATTAATGGATAAGCTACTCTCATGAATTTTTTACATTCAGGAGAACTGATTAAGGTTTGGGCAACCCTTGAAAAAGTGATCTTACATTAAAAATCCTTCACCATACAATTCATACAATGACGTTTTCTTCCTTGTTCTTCGTTCTAAATGCAAAACTTCTACTGATCATCTATATTGAACTTTATTATTGAATTTCCCTTAAATCTCAGTACCAGTTTTCAAGGGTCCACTATGTTCAGCTGAGACGAGTTTCTCTATTATGTGTTCTAATTATACAACACGCATATGATCTCTATTTGACAAACTTTATCATTGTACCTCTTTCTTTGGAACAGGTGATGTGAACAGCATAAGTGTCGGGTCTGGGACTAATATACAGGACAATTCCCTGGTCCACGTGGCTAAATCTAATATAAGCGGAAAGGTTTTGCCCACTATCATTGGAGATAACGTGACAATAGGTTTGTTGCTCTTACTTGACTTCCTTTCGACGTTTTATGCATAATGACTTAATTGCCATGTCTGATCTGGATCTCATCCCAACGAACTTCTATAAATTTGATTGAACAGGTCATGGTGCAGTTATACATGGATGCACAATAGAGGATGAGGCTTTTGTCGGGATGGGAGCTACTCTTCTTGATGGTGTTTTTGTGGAAAAACATGCCATGGTTGCTGCAGGTTCTCTTGTGAGACAGAATACAAGGGTCCCTGTTGGGGAGGTATGTATGCCTCTTGCTCCCAGTTATCATATCTTAAAATTTAAAAATTTTTAATATCATCCTAGAA